TAAATATATAACATTAAATATGTGCCCAAAATTTTCTCTATCCTTTTTTTTTTAATTTTTGTGATTCTTTGAATTTTCTATTTTTCAAAGTTTTATTATTTGACTATGACATCTAGGGCTGATCACGGTTTGGTTCGTGAGTTTTTTTAATCAAACCGACTTGGCTGGTTTCTTAATAATTCGAACCAAAATTGAACCATTTTTCATTTTTTTTTGGTGCAGTAACCTTGGACAATGAACAAGCTAGAGCCTGAAGGCCTGTATATTTATGCAAAAAAATAAAAAATACACCATAAATGATATCTATGAAAAAAATAAAAAAATACCTTAAACAAGTTGAAGGCTTGAAGTCGAACTTGGACGATGAACACTGAAGTGGTAGCCAATTTGTTGGTGCCGAACTGGTTGCTGTCGCTTGAACCTGAAGTGAGAGGTGGCGGAGATGATAGGTGTCTCCAGAGAGGGAGTAGCTGGCGCCTGGCCTTGGTGGCTTGGTGCTTGCCGGCGACTGGCGTTGCCACTTGGCGATTGGCACGAAGCGGTGGAGGAGATGACAGGCAAGAGGGAGAGAGAGACAGAGAGTGAGAGGAAGAGTTCTCAGTTCTGGGCCTTATGGCGTGGCCTTAATAGAGAAGGGAGGGGGAGAGGCCGTCAAAGGATGACCGTCGACCGACGTCGACGTCGAATGACAGAAGATGACGATCGGCGCCAAAGGAAAGCAAGGGGAACTGAGGAGGAAGATTAACAAGAGGAAAGCAAGGGTTTTCAGTTTTGGTATTAGCCTTTATGTATCGAAGAAGGGGAAAGGGGAAAATTCAAAAAGTCAAATGGTAGTGGGTTTAATAAAAATAAAAATATAATATATAATACATAATATATATAATTTATTATTGTATATATATACCGGCCGGTTCGGTTAATCGCCGGTTTTTTGAAAAGGTTAACTGAAACTGAACCGAAACTTGTGGTTTTTTAAGAATAGCGAACCAAAACCGAATCGGCCGGTTCAATTAACCAGATTTTTGGTTTGGTTTCGATCGGTTTTTCAGTTCGGTTTGGTTTTTCTGGCTTTTTGGCTCACCCCTAATGACATCATTTCATTTTTTAGGTAGATTTTAAATTTGGCATTCCATTTTCATCATTAGTAAAAATACTTCTTACATTTTATACTTATTTATTTTAATTTTTTATTATTTAATTATGGTATTATTTATTAATCCATTTGACCTCAAATGGCCGAATTGCTTGCCCACCACTGGGAGGGAAGAAAATGGTTTTGTTTCAAATTACTTTTCAAAATATTTATTTTTATACTATTAAAATTARTATTRTGGATTTMATTAYRAKARTTTAATGATGAGAAAAATATATCTTAAATATAGGATTTAATGAGAGAGAATAGGAAAATATTTTTATTTTCAATTAAATTTTGCATTCCATTTCCATCATTAATAAAAACATTTCGTATTTATCATACTTATTATTGTTTAATATGTATGTTAAAAATGTTTCCATTTTTTTTCTTTTTTTTTGATCAATAATAGATTCATTCAAATCTTTGAAATATCAAAATATTTACAGCAAGGAAGACAAGAACTGAGCCCAAAACATTGCTTCCCTTTCTATCCCTTGTTTAGCTAATCCATCAGCTAAGGAGTTAGCTGATCTCTTAACCCAACTCATCCTGATGTCCATCTCCCGCACCAGCCACCTGAATTTCCTCTTCTCATTTCTATAGTTCCATAAACCGTAGTCATCTTTAATCAGCCACCCTATCACCACCTCCAAGTCCCCTTCAATTATGAGTTTCCTGACAATCATCTCCTTGGCTTTCTGAACTCCTTCCATACTGCCAAGATCTCAGCTCTAAGGGAATCCCCCACACCAATTGGGCCTGAGAACAGGGCATAAATGACCCCGTTCTCATCCTTAAAAACACCTCCAATCCCTGATTGTCCCGGATTCCCCCTACAACTCCCATCAAAATTTAACTTTAAGAAGCCAACAGGTGGGGGAGTCCAGGACACCCTTATTATTGGTTTGACCTGAGTGCAGTTTGCAATCTCGCCCCACTTTCTCAACATGTCTTCCACTGTGTAATCTGTAAATAGTTCTAGTGATTTCAGCCACAATACTGCCCTTATGTGGATCACAGCCCTCAATTCTTCAGCCCCTCTCTCATTTTTCTAAGAAGATCCTAGTATTTCTTTCTTCCCATAATGTCCAGTATACTACAGCCCTCAGACCTCTCCACTTAGTCCTTCCCCTTTTCATGTGCCACCTGAAATAGGAAGGGGAAAATAGGCTCTGCAAGTTTGATGGAGGATTCCACCTACACCCAAAGAGAGAAAAAGCCCACTCCCAGATTGACTTTGCAAATTGGCAAGACACTAGTAAGTGAAAACCAGTCTCCCCGTCCGCTTTGCAAAGAACACACCAATGAGGTTACAAACAAGTATTAGGTCTCTTCTTTTGGAGCAAATCCCCAGTGTTGAATCTTTCCAAATAGGCTTCCCAACAAAAACTACCAACCCTAGGAGGAATCGGTCTGCACCAAACCTCACTAACTGGGAAAGGGGAAGTTGTAGGACTGGTGGACTGGCAAAGGACTTTGGAGAAGGAAGCTCAAGAAAAAGAGCCCGTGGGGGTAGAGGTCCAAATTCTAGAGTCCACCTTAGAAGGGTCCAAGAAAACATTATCAAGAAGTTCAAGAGGCTTGAAATACTATCAAGGTCTGAATCCCTCACAACCCTCCTCAGACCCAGGTTCCACCCAAACCCCGAACTGGAAGAAGAAGGGGTGATGAAAGAAGAAACTGGCTCATTTTTAAATTCAGAAAGAGCATACAAAGAAAAGAAGGAAATTGTTCCTTAAGAGGAACATTTTTTCTACTTTCATTTTATCTATTTTTTCATTTTATTATTTAATCATGGCAACATGAATTGACTCATTTGACCCAAAATGGTTTAATTTTTTACCACCACCTAGATGAAAACATTATTTTTTCTAGGTAGATGTTAAAAGTATATGCTTTTATGTTATTGGAATTATTAATTTATTAAGTATGGATTTAATTAATAGAACTTAATAATGAGAACTTGAGAAGAAACAAAGATGACTTAAGTATATGATTCAATGAACATAAATGCAAGTTAATAACTTAAATGTTGGATTTAATGAGAGGGAATCGAATGCATTTAATATCAATAACTGATTACCCTATTTGCGCTCATTTTTATCAGTAAATTTAAATATAGAGGGGTAAACTTTGTTCTCAAAAAATTCCAGAAATATTCTTGAGGCCATTCATACTTCTTAAAGTAGTATAAATCTTTACCACTTTTCAAAAATAAAAGAAAGAATGATTAGTTAACATCACAGGCTTTGTCTAAACCTAGTATGCATACAAAGCCTTTATTCCCAGATTTTAACATCATCATCATCCGTTTGGTTTAGTGCTCATTAGCTATTAAGATCTAATATGTCATTTGCCTCTCCTGAACAAAAGCTTCTTGGTAAGGCTAGAACTTGTTTTTGTGCCTTGTGCTTTCCTGTCACCTAACTGATATTTAAGCATGATGCCATCCGTTAAGAGGAAAAAAGTTACTTAAGAATCAAAATGTGTACTATATGGATAAGCAATTAGGATATGGTGCAATAGTCGACTTATGGTCGTTACAAGTGACTAGGGTTCAAATCATATTTCCCTCATATCCGCAGTTTTTAATGGACTATTTTAGTGGCATGTCAAATTCAAAATTGAATTTGAATATTGCCTTAAATATAGCCTTAAATGTTGCATATAATTCAAATTCAAAATTGAATGTTGCCTTTAATGGCGTGTCAATTGTCTTAAATGTAAGACTTAATTAAAAGTGATTTGTAAGACTTGATTGAGTGATTTAATCGAGGGAGAGGGAGGGAAATAAAATTTGAATTTGAAAAGTACTAAAATTCAAATTGTAGCAGCTGATACATGCATTGTATCGGGCCTGTATCAGATGATACAGACCCGGTATGGATCGATATGGGCCCATATCGGCCTCGATACGAACAAAAAGACTGGCCATTTCTACATTTATTGGGCCCTCACCAAAACGATACTTATCGGCTGATATGGCCCAATACATTGCGAAATTTTGAGCCTTGTCTTCAACTATTCCAGCAACATGGAACAAATATCAGCCACAAATCTTCTATTACTGTTTAGTTTTCCTTAAAAGATTCTTCTCATTCTTTCTTTCTAAATGCCCCATCAGATTGCAAATGGGATAGTGCTGTAAACAGTTTTTGATTTCTTATCACTGGAAAAGGAGGTCAAAGAGAGAATCTCATGTGGTTGTATAGGACTGAAGTTGGGCTGTCTAATAGGGCAAAGAAGTATCAGCAAATGAATTCCATCAAACTATGATCAGTTGTTAAAATGCTATCCAAAGAAAGCAACCATGCTAACACTTCCACTTTTAGAGGGATTGGATCATCCCATACTCCTTTGATTTGAAACTGCTCCTCCTGGTCTTTAATAACCACATTATAATACAACTTGACAGTGAACTGTCCATCTACACATTATTTCCCACCATATGGCATTTGATAATAAGGGATTTATGATATATCTTTGTTCAGTCCAAATTTCTGAATGGATTTCTTCTGCTTCTAATTATCTGATATTACTTCTGATAAGCTTGTCACATGTAAGCATCTAGTAATGGGGGATTTCTTGTACTTCTAATTTGCTTTTTCTTTTTTCAGCTGGTAATGACAGCTTTTGATTTTGTTAGTTGATAAAAAAATCCTTCAGGATACCATGATTCAAAACCAACCAAGATCTCAAAAACTAATTGAGCATGGTGGTATAATTTGTTAATTTGAGTTTAAATAAAAAATGTTTTTACTGATTCTAATCAAAGAGCAAGTTCATTGTAATGATAACAGACACTTCTATAGATACCTTGTTTTGATCTTTTGCATATTTTGGTTGAAATTGAATTTTTCTGCAGAGATACTCTGGAAGTGATTTACAGGGTGTAACAGCTAAAGTTGTAGACATGCCACACCATTGTATGTCATATTCCCCTTGCTTTGTCATTCTAATTTATTTTTTCTTGAGCAGTGGAGTCTGTCACTGACTTTACCTCTACAACACACTACTTTTGAGGATATTTAATGGTCATTATCTACATCATATTGTGCTAAACAATATTCCTATGTAATTTTCCTCTCAGTATTGGTACAAATGACAATATTCCTATATAATACCTTACCTTCTTCCAAAAAAATCAAAATATCTTTTTTCATTATGATTTTTTTTCTACTTTATTAGACAGAAAGCAATTGTTTTCTTAGATCCATATCATTTTGTTTTTATCAGAAACGATAACTTTCATTAGAGATAAATTAAAACTGAAATACAGAAGTCAACCCATATCATGTTGATAATTGCATCTTGCATCTGTAGTGTGTAAGAAATTAGATCTTGAGTCTCCTCCATCATTCATGCTTTATAGCCCTGATGGAAGCTCTGCACAATTACTATGTTCTGTATTAGCATTGGAAGAGAAGTAAAGCTTGGAATATGCAGGGGTTGGATTTCATTGTTATTGAAAGGAGTCCAGAGGGAGCAATTATCAAAAAAAAAAAAAGAGTCCAGAGGGAGCAGCAAGGTGCTTTTGAGTTGAAGAGCAGGGTTGGAATAGAAACTAAAATCGTGTGGACTCCAAATCTTTGATCTATCCACAAAATTCAAGGAAGGTTTTTAGTTATGATGTCTCAAGTTCCCAACAGTCTCACTGAACTGTGAAAGCTCATGCTAATATTATCAACCCCGAAAAAGTTCTTTTCCATTGCCAATAGAATGCTTGGTATTACCCATGGTTTTCGAACCGCCGTTGACCCGGACGGTCAGACCGTTCGGCCCGGGAACCATCCAGGCAACCAGCTTCATTTTACCCCAAACCCGGTCCCTGGCCAAAAACCGTTGAATCAGTCAATGACCCGTTGACCCGGGCAGGCGAACCGCCGACCCGTTCAATGGTTTTTGGCCGTTTTTTATTTTTAATTATTTTTATTATTTTTAATTTTTGTTGTCAGAATGGGCTGTCCGTTCGAACCGGACAGTTGAACCGTTGACCCGGAAACCGGTGGCCAGAACGGTTCCGTTTCCGGGTCGTGTTTTAAAACCTTGGTATTACCTTCAACTAAATTTCAGGTTATATAATCTTGTGCTATATCCAAGAATAATTTTGAAGGGCTTGGTGCATTTTTCCTTTTTTCTAACAGTCGAAAGTCTTAACATTTCTATTTGTAGCGTTAGAGTTATGGGTTGATTGCAGTCTAAGTGGGTTTGGTATGCACCCTATTGGTAATGTTGCCTTCATCTGGCAAAGGACAAGTGTTGCCTTTGTCCTTTAGCTACATTGGTGGTAGGGAAAAGTAGGAAGATTCCCTCTACCTTTTGCTTCCTTTATAAAAGTATAAAAGTTGTGCAAATGAAGACCAAAAATAGCTGGTATTGTTTTGTCCAGCAAACCATGTCTTGGAGTGAACCATTGGAGCTGTTTGTTTACTCCCGTGTTTTGGATAGCTAACTTATATTCTATTCATTAATGAAAAAGAATTATATGTACAATGGAAGTTTTCATGCTGGTACTACCATCTAACTTACAGTTCTTTAACCAATTACATGTACAATGGAAATTTTCTTGTTAGTCTTACAGTTCTTTAACCAATTACATGTACAATGGAAATTTTCATGTTAGTCTTAACAGTTCTTTAACCAATTACACACCAAAACAAGGAATCTCTTCTTGTTACTTGCCCCTCCCTGATGTCTTTATTTCTCTCATTAGAGTCTGTAGTTCCATGTTCTAGTCTTTTAACTTTTCAGCCACCATCCCACTGTTTTGGAGTCTCCCTCCACCTTGATATCTCTCAACTTCATCATCTTTCCCATTGTTAGTCCTTGCAATAGTGCTAGTAATTCATCATTTGTGGAATCACCAATTCCTATAGGCCCTGAAAAGTGAGCAAGAATAGATCTAGAGCTGTCAAAGTTGAGCTTGAATTGGTTTAGAGTTGGTGAGTCTAATCTCTAATTAAGCCAGGTGTTGAGCAAGATGAATCGATAGAAGCAGCATTCTGTCCTAATATAATATCCTCTGATGAGTAGAGCACAAATATCTCAAAAATCTTGATGAAGATGTTTTGTTAGTCCTTGCAATAGTGCTAGTAATTCATCATTTGTGGGAATCACCAATTCCTATAGGCCCTGAAAAGAGAGCAAGAGTAGATCTAGATTGATTTGGTTTGGAGTTGGGGAGTCTAATCTCTAATTACGCCAGGTATTGAGCAAGATGAATGGATAACAGCAGCATTCTGTCCCAATATAATATACTCTGACGAGTAGGGTGCAAATATCTCAATAATCTTGATCAAGATGTTCTTTTACTCTTGTTATGCACCTATTTGATAATAATCAACCAGAATTATCATGTGTTTTGTCATGAGTTTAAACACACTCTCGATTATCTTAATTAACTATTTGTAATGTTTTGAATAATATACTTTTGTTGCTTCTGGCAGATGTTGAAGTTCATCCAAACATACGCAAGCAATTTTGGGATCCGGAATATTGGCCAAAATATGTGCTTGTCAGATATACATGGTTAGTTTCGTTAATCCCATATTATTCTTAAAATGGATGTTACCTAGGCAAAAATGTAAATCTGTGGTTTGGATCCACTAAAAGGCCTCATATTTGTTTCACTAGAAAATCTTTTATTGTTACCATTTATTGTCCGAATAGGATAGGGTAGAACCAAAATGCCTGCTGGGTCACAGGTCAATTGGTCCAACCATTATGTTGATCTAGTAGCCTGTGGCATCATGGTTAAAAAAATATGAATAGTACCTAAAATTATAAAAAATCAGAAAATTGTTACTTGTATGTCTAAAAAACAACTACATGGCACAAACCCAACAAATTGATAATATTTGAGGAAATCAAAAGGAAACATGCAGTCTAAGTTGTCATTCTTAAAGAAATATAGAACAGGACAGAATAAATAATTAAGTATGATCAAGTCCATCAAGAACCTATACACAAAATTGAAATGCATGACTTAAAAATACATACTCAGCTGGGGATGGGTTAGCAAACACATCTATAACAAGAAAACTAGAGGAACAGAGTTTGTAACTTGTTTAAACCCCTATAACTTCAGCCTAAAATTCAAAGTTAGAGAACTGTCCATTGGGCCCTCCACTAGAGGAACAGGGTATGTGCCTTGCCTAGGTCCTAGGTGTAGGCCTTTCAAAAGGTCCCCGGTACCATGCCCCTCGAGGCAAGCCCAAATAAGTCCATGTTAGGGTCCTAATAAAACATCTTAAAAAGCAATTAAAATTATAAAACCATTATTTTTTGTGTGAGAACTAAGAATTTAAGACCCTAACATGGACTTGTTTGGGCTTGTCGCGAGGGGTGTGGCACAAAGGCGGCTTGTAGAATCAGGAATGTAATATGTTTTACATCACATTAGTTACTTGAAGTAATGCAATTGAGGAAAAAAAGAGATTTTGGGTTTTACATGCTTGAAAATGTTTTATATGTTTGATTTTATTTTTAAATTTTCATTTGAATACACTTTACATGTTATGTTTATGTATTTTAATTTTAGATAATAGGTTTTTTAAAACATTTATTTTAAAATTTAAGTTTATATTTTTTATTAATATTATGTTTAATATATATATTTTTTTATTTTTTGTATTTTTGCGCCTTGTGCCTTGGGCGCAAATTGGCCCCTGCGCTTTTTTTCTGCCTTGCGCTTTTAAAACACTAGTTTAATGCCATATCCATTGGTAAATTATGAGCGTTTGAATCATTTATTACTTTTTTGACCCATGTCCTTTTCGGTCTTCCATTCAATTTGCAATAGATCACTTCTTACTGGTGCTGTCAATGGTTTCTATTTTTTGATGAATATATAGAGAAGGTTCAATGAACTATAAAATGTGTTCAAAGTAGAGGTAACCTTGAGTACTTCAAGATGAAGACAAGTTCAGCTGAGAACTCATAACACTAAAAAAAAAAACTCTTTAACACTAATCCTATGGAGCATGGAGGCACCATTTCCATATATTGCTCACTATTCGTCTACACAAAAAAATAAAACTGAAGAAAAAGTTGAATACAAAAATCACATGGAGCTGGAAGCATTGTCTCGAGGGCCATTGCTTGGTGCAATAGTGAAAACTTGGGTTGGAAATGTGTTATGGACGCCTTCCTCGGGAAGACGTACCATCGCTGCCGGAAGCAACAGGCCCCGGGCCCACCGCCAGCAGCAGCAAGGATTCAGTGATGCTCATCCTACCCAGTTTGGCAACAACAACCTTATCTAGATTAGATTAGCTCATTTTGCTTGTTCTTATCTCTTATCTTATCTTGTTAATAGCTTATCAGATTAGGATTAGCTTATCTTATCTTGTTAGTAGCTTATCAGATTAGGATTAGCTTATCTTATCCTTAGCAAGATAAAACTGGAAGTCTCCCTATTCAGCAAGGAGACTCCCTTTGATTAGGACTCTTGTAATCTCCTATTTAAGGAGACCCCATTATTGAATGAGATATCAAATTATTCAGTCAAGAGTGAGTTAGGAGAGTTGGTGATCTCTTGGACAAATTACCGAAGGTGCCAAGATAGGTTCATCACGAGCAGGAAGGAACAAGGGAAAACAGGAGGTTTTCCCCGTGGACCGACCCGTGACGAGATCCTATTCCCGGGCCCTCAACAAAATGACAATTCAGCACCCGTGTTCATAAGATTTTGGCAAAAAGTTTTGATGCTGGCTGCCAACCTAACATAACCATCCTCTATCAGGGATTGTGCTATTTAGTTTATCAAAACAAAAATGTGATCTAACAAATTACCACCTTTTTGTTTTCTTTTCATTTGGGTTTCTTTATTTTTGGTGGGTGTGTTCTAAAAATTTTGCCAGAAGTTTGAGACCTTATTGTAGATTATAGTGTCATGTTGGTATACCATTTTAAGGTTAATCAAATGTCTCGACTCTCAATTAGGTAATAATTTCTTTTGCCTCTGCTTTGTGCATAATGCTGATTAAGGTATGCCATGTATAGTTTCCCAACCTGCATTTACAGAAAACATATACAGCCATACATCAAGAATATTGAATTTTATGGGCCCTGCAGATTAGTTTCATTAAATTTCTTTTTACATGTCAGTTCAATTTTGTATAGTTACATAGAAATTTCTCTATTTCCTTTATTCTTTGTGGTGCTTCTTTTCTTGTTCATTTTCTCAGATGTGATTCATAGTGGTAAAGTAGAAGATAAATTGTGTTTCTTTACTGAGATTCACAATGTTTTAAAGCATTTTGACAAGTATTTGTGGAACAATTTTACATCTAAGAATCTGATAATTACTGCCCTCTTAACCACAGCAAAAATGTTTGGTTTTGGAATGTTAGAGGCATGCCTCATAGAGTTATTTGTTGATCCTGTTCAAGGATTATATGTAACATGCTTGGGAACTTTGTTGGCCTGTTTAAAATTTTTACAGACGATATTTTGAAATTAACTATTTTTGCAGGGAGGAGCACTCAGATATAGATGTCACAGCTGGATTTTATGCATTATTTGGATCAGGTAAGAAGGCTCCTCATCATTGCACTTGGTGAATTAAAAAAAAAAAAGTAAAATTGTATTGATATTTTGAGAAATTAAATTGGGCAAGTGTGAATGGAAACTCAGAGGCAAAACTGGAGATTTTTAGACAAAGTTTGGTTCCATCAATTTGGTGGTGCATGTTCTATCCTGTTTTTGCTTTGGCTTGTATTTGTGGTCTTCGGTCCTAAAAGAATTTAAAGGGTTCAACTGCCTTGGTACTTTTTGCTGAGTTTGGATCTGCTGACTACAACTGCACAGCACACTGCTGGACACATTCACACAGCCATACATCAGGAATATGTCTTGTACTTTATATCACTGATGTTCCCAATGCGCAGCAGTGTGATTAACAATGTGGCCAGCATTGTGTTGTGGTCAGCACAGATCTGGACTCCTTTTTGCTAGATGGAATGTTGCAAGGACACACCTAAGGCTCGGTTGGTTGTGTGCATAGGGCATGCTCTCTTCTGTTTAAATATTTTTCTGCCCTATTTTATTATTAATGATCCAGCCACTTGGAGGGTGATGAATTAAAGGGTAAAAATATTTCATTTGTTAGAAAATTTGCTTAAAGTTTATTTTATGCATGTGAAACAGGGCTCTTATTGTCTTTTATCCTTGCGATATATGTGTTGCAGTCCTCTCAGGACAAATTAGCAAGGTACATATTGGCTTCCTGTTCTTTCCAATTGGTATTTTATATTTCATTTGTTGTCCGCATGGTCCTTTTTTATTTGATAAAATTTTGATATTTAAGTTGACACTTAGGATCAAAATTTCACATCATATGAAGGAGACCTTAGAGGTTCTCACAAAATTATCTTATGCATCAATTTCGGTATTTTTTGTGATAGGAGTTTGCTGTTTTTTTAGGTTTGTGAGGGAGACTGTTGCAGAGAGCAGCATTCCTGGGGGAGGCGTGGCCAAGGTTGAGTGAACTAGTGAAGGAACTCTCGGCATGTCGGAACATCAGAAACAGAAAGGAATGCCTCTGTTTTCTCTCTCTCTGGAGGGGGGCTTGGAATCAGGATAGGGGAAGGCTTTTGGTCATTGTATATTGTTGAATTTTGTACGTGAGTCGTGAGGATTATTTCTTTCTTAACAATATCTTAATTTGACAATCCACATTTCGCTTGCAAAGCTGCAGTTAGTCATCCGTACTTGTTATCATAATTGGGAAGCTAGGTTTGTGAAGAATCATGCAAGAGCAAATAATCGATGGAGGGACTTTTCAAGTCTTCATAGTTAAAACGTGGTCCAAATTAGTGACTTGCATAGAAAATCTATTTTATGGCGCATATTTTCTTCCGTAACGCAACACTTTCATTTTGAGTATATTCGTAGATTTCTAACGCCGAAAAATTGTTCAAGTTTGCTTCCCATAATATAAATAGTTTCCCTGCTGAAAGAAAAAAATAGCCTCTTTTCAACCCCTAAAAGCATTAATATCCAATTCAAAAGTAGGTAATCAGAAAAACCCAAAAAAGAAAAAAAAAAAAAAGAGCAAATTTGAATGAGTTTAAGACAATGAAAAATGTAAATTTTTAGAACAAATAACCTAGAAGCCTAGAAGAATCTGTTCTAATCAAAATAAAACCAAATCGAGAATTAAAGCTAGTCAGATAAATCTACCCCCCAAAAAAGAGGTAGACAAAGACAAAGATAATGGAGTAGTGAGAAAATCATTAGGAGAAAGTTTCTGTTTCTTGTGCTTTTTTATAAATACGGGATCTTTTTTGGGTGCCGACTTGGGCCAGGTTACTAACACACACCTGCAAAAACAATGACTAACTTCTCTACTAATCTCAGGATTCTCAGCTTCTAAGTTTTAATTTTAGGAGAGTCGAAACAGAGAGGACGAAGCAAATTATAACGCACGATAGAATGGGTCGTAGTGTGCTGTGCCGCGAGGGCTTGACCCAAAATATTCAAACAAACCCAGCAAAGCCCTACTTCGCTACAGCATGAGCCGCATGATTAGCCTCACCGGCCTGCGTTATCTGCCAACTTGACAATACAATGGTAAAATCCAGAACCATGCCAAATACCATCTAATCATAAGCTTAAAGATTTTTCCAAACACACCCCCTCCCCGTCCCCGCCCTAAAGTCGGGGCGGGTTCAGGGTGGGGCATCCATTCCCATCAGAGACGGGGGAATCTTTGAATTTTCCCCACTCGAAGGAAATTAATTAAAAATTATCTATTTTATGAATAATTTATACATATCATATAGAAATTTGGGGTATTTACAATCGAATTATAATATTTTAGGGGTAATTCAAAAATAAAATTATGGGATCCTAAGATTTTAAGATATTTTACTAATTTACCTTTGAATTTGGAGTGGATTGGAGGAATTATATACAAAACCCGTCCCCGCCTCGTCCTTATTTAGGATCGGGAAAAACCCGCCCCATTCGGGGCGGGGCGGGGCTCCGGTTCTACGGTGGAAATTGCCATTAGTAACCCAAGTTACAACCAATATCGCTGAAATGGCGGAAACATGATCAATGAAGCAGTCTTGCGCGCAAAGGATCTAGAGCTCCGTTATAACAGTCTCAACGACTGCAAAATCGATACATAATCTTGACAAGAGAGTTAAGGAGGCTCTATGGAAAAGCAAGGTTATCATTGAAGACATATGGAGTTTGATCGATCCGACCTCAGCGAGGATCGTACCAGGAGGCAGCAAAGTGAAATAACGCATCGCCCGGCACATTTTGCCTTACCTTTTTTGTATTTCCGATTTGATAATTGCTTTGTGGTGTTTCCAACTGATTGTAGTTGGTTAAAATCCATTTAATATCTAATACGAGGACATTCATTGATTTATATATAATGAAAGCTAGTTGTTTCTGTACAACAAACCATTGTACAAGAAGAAGAAGAAGACGAAGAATGTGATCGTGGGTGCACTGGTGTGGGATTATGACAAACAATAAGACCATTATGACCTGAATGTCGATCAGTTCCCTCCTCCTCCTCGTCCTTCTCTTCCTGTTTCTCCCGGATAAACTTCAGTACCTCTTCGAACGTCTTAGTTGTGCAAGGTATGGTAATGGGACCATCAATTCTGGGATCGAAATAATCGTCCTCTACAGACTGTTTAAGTAATGCTTCAAAACTTGGAAACGACAAATACTCTAGGGGAACATTGTATCTGTGCCGATCTTCTCCCACATATACCGGAAAAAAGCCTTTTGGAACCGGAAGTTGATTGTGGTCGTCGTCTTTGGACAATAGGAAGCATTCGTATTCGTTTGACGAGCTGAAATGGTTGAAACAGAGAATATTCTTGAGAGAGCAAAGTCCTCGCTGAATGCGTCTTCGAGAAAACATGATCGGATTCTATGATGTATCTTCTGTATATTATTCAAGAAAAGTGAGGATACTAAAATTTATAAACTGAAATCAAACTAAAACTAAAGGAGAAACCAGTGGAGAAGGAGAACATACAAAAGTGATGGGTAGAGCAGAAACCTGTGGAGAATCTCAGTAAGGCGAGCAAAAGAGATGATGGGTAAAAAACGGCAGAGCAGCCACGGTAGAGAACACAAATAAGGCCGAATATGTGTTAATTTAAGGAAATCAGAGATACGGAGAAGATATGAGATCGGCAGAGATGGGATATTATGGTATAAATATAGAAGAATGTTAGTGACGGTGGACATGGAGTAGTACAAATCTATGTATGTATGTAAGGTATCTAGATTCCCTATTCTATATATGTATATATTATTTCCAATTTTCCATATCAACGTAGGAGGTTAGAGGTTAGGAGCTAGGTCTGGACTAACCAAACCATCATCAGCTTCTTCGTAATACCCAAAACAAGTAAACGCACGATAGCCCTTGGGCTGGGGTCTTGAGCCAGAGAGACCAAATCAAAGAACAATGGGATTGGATTTTTCGTGGCATCCACGCGTTTCAACTTAATTTATTGGCCAAAAACGGCATAGATTAATAAGAGGCGTGTGGCCTCCATGTGCTCCATCATTATAAAAACAAGAGAATGTGGAATCGACGAGCTCCCTCCTACATTTTAATAAGAAGAAACATACATACTTTACAGGAGGACATGCCCAGGAGGGAGACCGCGTGACTCACTCAAACTCAAACTCAAACTCAAAGAAAGAGACAGAAGAAAAAGAAAGGAGGGCAGGTACAGGTACAGCTGGGAGGGTACAGACGTACACTCATGGTACATCTTGATCTTACAACAAATGGGTACGGAATGAATGATTCGGCGAAACTCAATTACACTTTACAGGAGCGAGAGACTGACAAGCAAATTGTGCAAAATGATCTGTGTCATATCTCAGACATGGTGGATCCCAATCTTAATCTTATGGTGAGATGTGGGGATACAGTTTTTGTTGGAGAATTTGCACCACATTAGCTCTACAGGCGTACATGGCATATCATAATTGGCGCAGGTAGTAGTATCTCCTTCTCCTTTGACCCCTGTAGGCTGTAGCTAGACTAGAGGATTCAGACTTTCAGAGCACATAGTCTGACTAACCTCATTGAAGGACGACTTCGATTTTAGCTGTATGGGTATTGGGTAGGTGTCGTGTCAACCCAGATCCATTAGATAAGCGGCCCCAGCACCAGTAGGAACAGGATTAGCTTAGCTTAGTTGAACATTCCCAAGCTTAGCAAGAAAAGATGGCATTGCGATTACGAAGAAAATTCGACGACACAACTAGATTACTAGATGACGTAAGGTGGGGTGGGGCCTGGGGGTGCGACTGCGACAAGTTTCAAGATCCAATACAGCGTTACAATTACTTACAGTTACGGGCCTTACTGTCACGGGGGTAGTTCTATAGTGGAAGAAACCCGTGCGGCGTCCTGGCCAAGGCAGGCCAGGACAAGCCTTTCTGYGCTTAGAGGCTAGGAGTTGCCCGATGGGATGGCTCCACCAACGTCAGTAGCACTGGATCTTGACCTCAAGTCCAATGGCCGGGGCACTCTCCTGGCTCAGACCGGTCCATGGGAGGCGCCGCTTACGTGCTAAAGGGGGACAACCATCATGGAAGGCGACCA